ATTTTCCAGCTCTACTATATAGCATTCCTATTCACTTAGAGCACAAGAATGTGCAGTCTAGATTTCAAATAAAATAAATAAATTTAAAAATAAATAAAAGGAAAAAGAGCTTCAAGACTAGAATGACATTTTCAGTGGAAGCTGGAGGATAACTTGCCCTGACAGGAGAAGCCAAACTTGCACAGCTGACAAAAGGAAGGAGCTTGAGGCATGCCAGCTGTTCATTTTCTTCGTTATCATTATAGCAGGTGAGTTCTCTATAGAAACTCAGTAGCATACTTTGAAACACGATGCAGTACATTCAATGGCAGTGATCACGCAGCTTGCGCATTTCAGTGTGACAGCACTATGGAAAGGCTACAGGCCACGCAGCTACAGTCTGGTAAGGAGCAGGTCATAGCCAGCAATTCAATTAACTTGCACAACAGGAAGCTTACTGAATGGAGATGGTATCCCACTAAGGCTTGTGTGTTCCTCCTTTAGCAGAGCCACAAAAGGCTTCATCTGCATTTGGATGAACCATGGATATGTCTGCAAATTCCTAACAGTACATCCAATAAACAGTTCATTAGTGAGGTGGGGGCAGTGGGAGAAATTGCACTGTAGCAACACCCTACTTTGCAGACTGTTTGCCAACACCACTCAAATATCATGAGAAACAGGACACATACCTTGATCTGCTCTTAAAAGAGATTCACTCTGAGATGCTGAACTGTTCTTAGAGTCTCTAAGAGACTCCTCAGAAACGAGGAACTAAGGTCAGGTATATTTCAGAGTTCTCCTGTGCTTCACAAAGCAGGTGGCATACAGGGGACTAATGATAAATCTTAAACTTTTTTGTTGTTGTTTTATATAACAGGAGTTATTCCCATCCAAGTGTTGGTTTCAGAGCTCCCATCCCTTCCACTTTACTCTTCAGGGATGAGGGAACCCACTACCTTATGGCTTGACGCTATTTAAATGTTGAGTTTATAATAATACCTAGCCCTAAAGAATTCCACCCATAGCTTTTAACTGAAGAAATACAGCTGCAGAAAAAAATAAACACCGGTAACTCAGAAAGATAACTGGATATGGCAGTCATGGGAAAACAGCTGCTGGAGAAATACTTCATAAGGAAAAGGCATGGAGAAAGAAGACCTCAAGCAGCAGCCAAGTTTAATTTATTGAGAAAAGGAAAGAAACTAAAGCAATTATATTGTTTACAACTCCTCCCATCCCATGTAATTGGGAAACTGATTATAAAGGGCATCCCCCTGAAGTGTTGAACTTAAAACTCTGAGAAAGTGAAGGAAGTCCAACTTCTATCTAAATAGCATAACTAAATACAGCCTAGCAGCTGTGGCGCAATCTAAGCTGTTGCATAGCAAAGATACTTCGTCAAACATGTGTTTGCCTGTACAGCTGCATGCTCCTGCAGCTTAGCAAACTGGATAACAGGGTACGTATACACACTGCCAGTGGTCTCTGGCATCCCTTCTCCTAAGTATCAGACTCACCGAGTTCTACATCACTACTAAGATAATGCAGATGATCCTACCTCTGTGATACCTTCCCTTTCTGAGTATAGCAGATATTC